AGTTGACTAATTACAGATTATATCATATTATGATTGAAGGTCAGTTTTTAATAGATAAATCAATATTAAATTGGATTTTTTTTTTTAAATAGAATTGTGTAACAAATGTTTTACTAAACATTGTTATCTGTTTTCTGCTTTTAAAACTAGGACAACAATACGGTTAATAAATGTCATTTATGTGAGATATTAATTTTGTGATTGGTAAATTTCGGTGTCAAAATATGTTCGATCAAGTTGTAATATTTTATTTAATTTTTATGTCTCGTTGTCGGAAAGGGAACAACACGTGCAACCAATGTAATACCCCTAATTTTAAAAGGATAGACTCGGTATTTATTTATTTGTTTTAATTGTATTTTTAATTATTAATAATAATTTTGATTATTTGACTAATTGCTTATATGTTTAATTGAATTAGATATTACTTGATTATTTAATTATGTGTCTATGTATTATTTGTATTTGTTTATGTGTTAATTATTTAATTAGATTATATGCTTAAATGGTGTTTTGATTAATTGTAAATTAAATGTTTTCTTTTCTTTTATTATTTTATTTTATTTTTCTTTTATGGTTATGGCTAGTAGTAATGGGTCAACCAATTGGGTTCCATGTACTACTTGGATATGAGGTTGGATGTGTATGAATTATTACCCATGAATAGTTGTGCATAGATATATATTATATACATATATAAAAGGGAAAGTAATTTATTAATTACTTTTATGGTAACTTGGGTAGTAATATTTAATCTGATGTATATGTTTAATATTTAAATAATAAAAATATACATAAATTTGATACGTGTCATGTTATAAGTTACTTTATAATATTATGGTAACTTAAGTATTACTGGATAATCCATTAATAAATAATGGACTGTGTATAATTTATTTATTTAATAAAGATTTACTTAAATTATATACATAACATATTTTACTTACCTTTTTAATATATATAAAATGGAAAGTAATTTATTAATTACTTTTATGGTAACTTGGGTAGTAATATTTAATTTGATGTATATGTTTTATATTTAAATAATAAAAATATACATAAATTTGATACATGTTATGTTTTAAGTTATTTTATAATATTATGATAACTTAAGTATTATTGGATAATCCATTAATAGATAATGGAATGTGTATAATTTATTTATTTAATAAAGATTTACATAAATTATATACGTAACATATTTTACTTACCTTTTTAATATATATAAAATGGAAAGTAATTTATTAATTACTTTTACGGTAACTTGGGTAGTAATATTTAATGTGATGTATATGTTTTATATTTAAATAATAAAAATATACATAGATTTGATACGTGTTATGTTTTAAGTTACTTTATAATATTATGATAATTTAAGTATTATTGGATAATCCATTAATAAATAATGGGATGTGTGTAATTTATTTATTTAATAAAGATATACATAAATTATATACGTAACATATTTTACTTACCTTTTTAATATTTTAATATTTAATTTTTTAAGTTGACTTTGATTGGGAAAAGGGTTAGGGTTATTTTATTTAGCCTATAAATATATAGCTATAGGTTGCAAAAGGGGGTTAAAAATATTCACGTGATATATTCTAGAGAAAGAGAGAGTTAGAAAGGGAAGAAGGAAAAGGAAGGAAGGAAGAGAAAAATCCTGTAGAGAGAAGATTAAGGAAGAAGACGTTTAACTTTTGATCCGAAAGTTTAAGGTAAGTTCTTCTTCTATCTCTTTATCTTTAATTCGTGTTTCTGCACATGCCTAGGAAATTCCAGGATTTATTAAACACATAAAATTAAATAATTATGCATGATTTTGATTTGATTTCTGGTGTGAATTTTGATATGTTTAAATTATGTATTTTTCATATCTGTGAAATGATGGAATGTAGAAACATGCCTAGGATTCCTGAACATTAAATAGGAACTAGGTTTGGGGTTTAAATAAATTTAAATGGACTCAATCATAGTGATGCTTGCTATTTGAATGTTTTAAACAAACGAATGGATTTAATTTTTTAATATGTTTTAACAATTGAGATTAAATGTGTAGGATGAATTGGATATGGATAATGCTTATTTGACGGTATAATAAAATATTATCATATGTATAAGATTCAGTTTATGTATGACGTATGATATAGGAAGCTTAAATAAATAATAAGTCATTCCTATTTTGTGATAACTTGATATCATATTATCATAGGTATTTCTGGATTTTTTGATGTATTTCCTTAATCGTTACATCAATTGTTGGATTGTGTGGTTTAATGCACCGGTATGGGACGGTGGCATTCTAGGGACGGATTAACTTATCAGTTAAGTCCTACCTATTTTATATAAGGAAATGGATTAACTAAAATGTTAAGTCCTACTTATATTCAAGTCAGGTCAGCTGAACAAGTTGAATGATTTATGAAGGATTAATTTATTATACAAGGAAATGGATTAACTAAAATGTTAAGTCCTACTTATATTCAAGTCAGGTCAGCTGAACAAGTTGAATGACTTATGGAGGATTAATTTATACCGGACAGGATGGTTACTAGATTATATATATATAAGTATAGTGCCATGATATGAGCTTGAGTCTCAGGATCAGTGGTTAGGGCGTGTATATCGCCAGGGATGTGTAGCTAGATATAGTGTAGCTGTGTACCCTGGTAGGTTTAGGTACTCATGCCCACTATATGTGCGTTTTGCTTGTTACCTACTATTCAGGTTGAGACAACCCTATAGTCTGGTAAGGTTCTTTTAGTGTGTGTGTATATATATATATATACGGACTACTAGTTACTGTCGGATTGACTAGGATGTATACGTGTATCAGATCTCTGCTTGGACTGTAGTAGAGTAGAACTTGTTTATGGGCCTGACCCACCATTATTTTTCAGGTGTTCGTCAGGAGTAGAGGTTATTCGTGCTGAGCGAGGATTAGTCTATTTCATTATTCCGATGCTATATAAGAGTTCCTTTATGATTCAGTTTCCTGATTTAGACAGTTATTACTGTCATTTATTTAGTTTGGATTTTCTAGGGGTCCACACAGTATGGATTCCCGAGTTGTATTTTGGAGGATCAGTTGTATCAGAAGAGTTATTAACTAATAGAAATATATTCTGAGGTTTATTATTAGATTATCATTTTAGTTTTTTATTAGCATTTTATTTATTCTTCTTTATTCTTTTGTACTCTGTGTTCGTTTATTATCAATTTGTTTTGATATCTTCGGGTATTCGGGCGTGGGCCTGGCCAACCCGCATTCGGAATCGGGGGTATCACAACCAATATGTGTTCAATTTTGATTCGATTGAAAGTATGTTGGTCAGGACACACTATTTTTGTTTTTGGTGAGTTTTGACTCAGGCACTTGAATGATATAGTACAATATGTAAACTGATGTTGCGGAACTAGTTGTATTCTACACAACCAGTCGCGTTCTAAAATTCTCAAATTCGTTAATCATTCATTACTTACTGCCTATGCGGAACCAGTTGGGCTTAACACAAATGGTCGCACAGATGAATTTTCAAAAATGTTTTTCACACAAAAACTCACTAGGGAATGAGTCACGCTTCACGCAACTGGTTGCGATCTTGCAGACCAAATAGGTAAGTTGAATCTCGGTCTGTTTTGGCTTTCTCTTTTTGGCCAGATTTTTGCAATTCATACCATGCACGGAATTTACTTGTTTTCAAGTACAATTAGATTTTAAAAAATATATAAATACATGTTTTCTCACTTAGGGTTTTACGGCTTGTTGGAAATAAAATTTCAGAGATTTTGTGAGAGCCTTTGAGAGATATTTTTATCCAGAAAATCAATTTGAATTTTATGATTTTATTTTTGAGAGCATATACTATTACACGTGAGTGATCTTAAGGTGGTGTTATCTACTAATCGGAGTTCAAGCTTATTAAAAAATCAGCTTATTCCGTTCATAAAAGTAGGGTTTCTATTTGTCTTCATCAAATTATGATTTGAAGAAAAGGATGGATCGATTATACTTTGAAGGGATCAAGCATTCGTGGAATGTTAATTGATATACCAGCAATCCTTCTACAGAGATCAAGAGTAAGTCTAAGGTCGAGAGCTGTTGGACGAGGGAGTCGTAAAGGCAGGGTTTGTCAGCAATTAGTTTTCGGTATAATGAGAGGGTGTGACTCTGATACAGTATCGACTATATTTTATTTCAAACATAGTGGATCGTTTCATTAGAGACTGGGAAAGTCTCCGTGATTTTCATCTTGGTTGGTCGGATTTATTCTAACTAGGGTTTCTATGCACAAAAACTCAGTGTCATATCTCAAACTTTATTTACTTTACTTACACTTTATTTTTGCTTTGTGTGTTTGATTTTAATTTTATTTTGATAAAATTAAAATAAGTACAAATTGATAAAAAGAGCAAGTAAAACCTATTCACCTCCCTCTAAATTATTTTTAATACAAACTTCTACATCTTTTCTATTCCGCCTTGTACAATTCATAATTTGTACCATTTGTTTTTACTAACGAAAAACAAAATCATATTTCTATTTTCTTGTGAAAGCAACAATAGAAAACAAAAAATTACCGAATGCTGTCTAAAATACAGTTCATAAACTAAAATGCCCAAAATTCCTAGGTATTTTTGGACAAACATTGTTGAATTTAAACAGATCAGGGACGAGATTATTTTTTAAACGATTTTGAACGTGGAGGTGATTTACTTTGTTAAACGGGACAAATGCGATCCCGTTGTCATGTCTTGTTTAACTTCTCTTAAAAAGGGATTTAAAATAATCAAGCGAGCCCTGATTAGGGTATGATCCAGTTTCCAAGTTTACACATGGGGTAGATGACTCACAGTAACACAGAGTGACAGAACAAAAGCATTGGTAAAGACAATAGTACTTTTTAACCTTATCACACAATAGTGTATATAAACAAATAAAATTGTCCTAAAGCCGACACTGGGCCACCACCGCCAACCCACCATCTACAGCACCACCTTTCAGCCTGGGTATTTTTTTGGTCCAGTAAGCACTCATTTCCAAAACACCCCTTCTCTCTCTCACCCTCACTCAGCCTCTGCTAGAGCTGTTACCAGCTTTATTTCTCTGAGCACCACTATTATACCTCCTCCTCCTCTTCTTCTTCTTCTTCTTCTTCTTCACTTAGCTTGAGCTTGTTCCATCTCTTTATCATGGCTTGTTTGGTGTTCTTGGTCCTTTTGTTGGCCATGGCTGGGCATTCAAGTAAGCTCTCTTAATAACACCCCTTTTTACCATTATACCCCTTATTTTCCTACCATCGAACCAAACACTGTGCTTCTTCATGTGATAAATGCTCATTTTTATTTTCTTTATTTGTTTGTGAAAATGCCCCTTCCCTCACTAATTAGCCCAATATTTTGCAGCATCTTTTTTTTTTTTTTTTTGAATTTTTTCCCTTTACTGCAGCTGCATGCCTTTTTTTTTTCTGTCACATTGAAAAAGAATTTTCAATTTATACTTCTATATATATATATATATATATATATATATATATTTGAATGTATGAGATCTGATTTTTTGTGGGTATTTATGATGTTACTTTTCTTGTTAATTTTTCTAATATTTATGATGTTACTTTCCCTCACTAATTAGACCAATATTTTGCAGCATCTTTTTTTTTTGGTCACATTCAAAAAGAAATTTCAATTTATGCTTCTATATATATATATATATATATATTTATTTTTTGAATGTATGAGATCTATGTTTTTTGTGGGTATTTATGATGTTACTTTTCTTGTTAATTTTTCTACCTCTTTTAGCCTTTTTTTTAAAGCTCCCTTTTTATTAATGCTTTCAGCATGTTCTAAACTATAGTATATGATATGGTTTCTCAGATATGAGTTCCATTACTCTCCCTTCCCCTCAACAACAACAACAACAACAACAACAAAAAGAAAAAAGCAAAAAATGTACCCTCCCCCACCCTCTCTCTTTCTCTGTGTGTGTGTGTGTGTATATATATATATATTTGTCTGACCCATTTATATTTTTATATATATTAATAAATATATTAATTTTGTGTTGGTTTTTTTGGGTAGGTGCTACATGGTGTGTTTGCAAGGAAGGAATGGGTGATAGTGTGCTACAGAAGTCATTGGATTATGCTTGTGGAGCTGGGGCTGATTGCAATCCAATCCATTCAGCTGGATCTTGTTACAACCCCAACACAGTGAGGGCTCATTGCAACTATGCTGTTAACAGCTATTTCCAAAAGAAGGGTCAAGCTCAAGGCTCATGTGATTTTTCTGGCACTGCCACTGTATCTACATCTGACCCTAGTGAGTCCCTAGCCTCATTTAGCTTCTTCATTAATCTCTCTCTCTCTCCCTCTCACACACACACACAGACATGTATGGTCTTCAACTAGCTATATTTTTATCAAATTTTTCTTGGTGATTTACAGGCACTACTGGTTGTGTTTATCCTACTAGTGCCAGGTATGTTCTATTTTTTTTTTTTAAAATTTTTTTATTAAGACTTTTTTTTTTTTTTTTTTTGCCTTCTTTTCTGTAATTTGGGTAATGCATTGCTTGATCTATTCTTTCACTAGTACTAGAAGATGGGGTTCTCTATCAATTTTAGGGCAAATGCTGTGTGTGATTTTTTTTGTTTTGCAATGGTGCACTCCCTCTCCCTGTGGTGATCACTGATTAACCAAAATATAAAAAATACCCTCTAAATCTTGGAGCAGGATGGTAGTTTGGCAGGGGCAATAATGTCTTTTTAGTGGGACTGTTCCCACTGACACACTTTTTATTTTTTTATTTTATAATTTTAGGCTTAATGGTGACTGAAAATTCAACATCAAATGTGTAGCTCAAGGTTTCCCCTAGAGTATGCAATTTGAATGTGTCACAATAATTTATATATAATATGTATATATACATATCAGTATTGCTTTTGTATCAAAGGTGGATTCAGGGCACAATTTTCCTTTTTGGAATGAGTTTGATTCAGACCTGGTTCAAAGCTGAACCTGATCGTGTGTTGATAAGGGTGACATTCCTTTGTCTAAAGGCAATTACTTTTTCTTTTCATTGTTTCGCTAGTGAAATAGGCTCTCTTGTTTTCCCTAGGAAAGCACAACTTTTTAAGAGCATTTCAAGCCTCAATCCTTTATTTTTCATTCATACCATTCCACTTTATGTAATGACATATGTTTATATTATATTTATATGACCCACACATCTTTTTTGTTTTGTTTTTTTTTTTTTTTTTTTTTTTTTGGCACTTTTGATCTAATCTATGAGAGCGAGCTCTTTTTGTCATTTGACTCATTTTGTAATTGCATGATGATGTCTATTGACTGATTGCCCTTTGATTACTGGTTTTGTTGTGACTTTTCACTTTCTTCAAAGATTCTTGAAATTATTGGCATAATGGTATCCAAAGCCTTTTTTACTGGTGGTAAAAAATTAAAACTAATGAAAAGACAAAAATGGGTCCACCAACTAAAGGACCATATTACCCCTCAATGTAACTTGCCTATGGTAAAAAAGATGTCCTTTTGTGACCATAGTGAAAAACAAGTGAACTTTTTAAGGAGTCGCACATTTGATGCATGTATGGTTTTAAATTTTAAAACTAAACTTTACATATTATTAATTAATAAAAGTTTTCAAAATATATGGACATTTATTTTGCAACACTGCACAAAGGGGGACAATAATAATTAAACACACTGCTTTTTGAGAGGGATAAAATAATTACAGGTTTCTTTTTTCTTTTCTTTTTTTTAAAAAAGATAATATACTATGTATAAAAATACTATGCCATAATTATTTTTAACAGAAGAAAGAAAGAAACTGATTTAGAGAATAAAATCCATTGCATTTCTTGGATGCATTAAAATGGGATTCATGTGAATCCCACTTCAGTGCATCCAAGGGATGCAATTCTTTCTACTCTCTTAATCAGATTTTACTTCAATGCCATTGAAAGGATGTCCTTTGATATGATTTTTTAATATATATTTTAAGTTAAGCATACTGTTACCGAATTCTTAATTAATTAAAAAAAAGTCTTAATTTGGGGGGCGGGGGGTGTGTGTGTGTGTGTAGCCTAATCAATAGAAAATTTTAAATTTTTTTTTAAGTTTTAGACAAGAAATGATAGGTCCCACCAAATGGGTAGCCCTTGGACTTAGGTCCAAAAAGTAAAGTCACATTAATCTGTGGTCAGAAACATTGGACCTGTTCAGACTGATGCAACAAAAACAGTGCTAGTGGTGCAATTATTGATGGTTGTGATGGTGTGGGCCACCTCTATTACAACCGTTGGATGGCCACCTACTTTGAGATCCGAGCCAGCTTTTTTCCATTTTTCGGTTCGGAACATCTTGTGGGTTGTGCATTGTCAGCACCTGTGTTATTAGGGTAGTCCTGCCCTAGCAGTTCTGATATTTGGACTACTGTCATTAAAATCACCTTAATTAGAAATTCTTAGTGCCGACGAATCACAAAATGGCATGTTAGCATCTTGTGATTTGGCCTGATTGATTTGTTAATTTTTATATTATTATTTTTTAAATAAATAAACAGTAATAATTTTATAATAAATAAAAAGTTTCACGAAAACATTATTATCTAAGACATACTTTGTACAGTCGAAATTGTTGCTCTCTTTGTTGGCTGACTTGTGTTTCAGGTCCGTAAATTTCATTTGAAATTCACCTCATTCAATAGATGAGATTGACAATTAATCCTGTCCGAAGCATTCATTTTATAACCATTAACCACTTAAGATTGCCTTCATAGAGAAATGATTTCGAGAGGGCGTAAAATTAAGGAGTTGTGAAAGAACTCTTGCATGAAAGGATTGTCCGTTGGGAAGTGTAGGGTTTGGAGAATGAGGCTAGAAAAGGACTTACTTAGCTTTGTTTGTTTCTGGCTAGCCACTTTAAATATTGACACAATTTCGAAAGTCTAAAGTGGAGATTAATTGGTTTTTTATTATCAATATAATATAATATGTTCAACAATACATATTTCACCTTAGTCACATTTTAAATGTGTTTATTTATTTATTTATTATTATTATTTTTTAATTTTTACGGACAACCATGACCTAGTTTAAAGTTGAACATTATGTCTTGTTAAATCTCATTACTGTGTTTTTCATTAATTTCATTTAGCTTTATAAAATAATGCATATAAAGTAGTACAGTATGTCATTTCACTATTGATGACCCTGACTCATTACGCATTCATTGCCGTGACTTGTCACTTTCTTCAAAGATTCTCGAATTATGAGCAAGACAGTTATACAATGTCTCTTTCGCCTATTGAGGAAAAGACCATATTGCCCCTTTAATATTACTCACTAGTCTCTATTATATGACTTGGATAAAAAAGATGTCTTTAGGAGAGTCGGTCATGAAAACGTTTGTCAAATATTCTCTTAATCTTAAAATAAGCACAATTTTTTAAATTAATCCTCTAAAATATAATCTGTTTAACGTTATAAATTTAGAAAAGTTTTATAAAACATTCTCATGATTTAAAGAAGTTAAATTAAATTTTATTATATAAATTTTATAAAAAACATAGGACACTGTTTGGAAAAGGGTGGTGTACCAAACTGCTTTGGCAGTAATTGCAGCTGATCAGAAAATATAAATTTGAAATTGGTGGTCATAATGGCCAATTATTTATGGATGTGATTGCGTGGGCTATCTCTATCTAAGCCGTTGGATGGTCAAGTGCTTTGAGATCCGAGCCGGCCTTTCAAATTAGGACTCTTTTGAGGATTGCATGGTTGGCACCGAAAGTTATTAGGCAATGCTCCAAGAGCTGGGGCCAGTGTTACGGTATAAATCCTATTGTAGTTGCAAGAACATTACGGATGTTATCAAACGTGGTGAGTGAATAGAATTGATGTGAGACTCGTTACATGACGGACTCCATATGCTAGCTTGCCAAATACTCGCCACAATTGGTGAGCAAAAACAAACATAAATTTTTTAATTTTATTTTATTTACTTTTTTATTTAATTTTTACTTATTTACTTTTCATAAATATCTATAACTACCAACGGTTCTTTGGCATTTTAAAACTTTTTAAGAAAAAGTCAAACAAACAATTGAAACAAAAAAGTTTTAAAAAAGTTTTTACAAAAATTTAAAAAAAAAAAAAAATAATAAAAGTGGTTAATTCAACCAACACGGTATCTACTGGCTGGGCTGGCCGTGTCAGCCTAATAGGCTAATGTGGTTCTCCATCTAACAAAAAATAGAGTCAAAAGTGGAGAGGCACACCGGATGCTCTTGGGGCATTAAGTATAGTTGCCTTAAGGGCATTCGGTATGGCTCTCCGCTTTTGTTTAAATAGAGAGTACATCAGCCCAATACTGAAAGTGGCTGGCTGGGCTAACTACGTTTATTATTATTTTTTTTACTTTTGTTTTTTGTAAAATTTTTAAATTTTATTTTTTACAATTGTTTGTTTGTTAGCTATATTTGTAATGACTATATATTACCAACAACTATATATTCAACCGCTATTTTATTTTGTTTTTTTAAAAAAATATATTTTTCAATTATTTGCTTCTCATATATTACCTATTTAATATTTTCTCACAAATAAAAAGAGATTACATTTGACCACCTCCTTCCTTGAATTTATTCAAGATTGATGGAGTAGATGGATAGTTCTAGAATGAACCTCGTGTTGTTGAATCAGATTTGGAGCAATTTCCAAATTCGTTAATATCAAGATTGACAACGCCTCTCTTCCTTATTTGTTGATTTAGCTTGTGTTTCTCTTGTTGAGCTTTGCAGTGGTTTTGCAACTTGGATTTATAAAAAATAGACAATAATTGAAATTAGTCAGATTCTAAATTAAAATTTAAGAATTTAAATTTTTTTACAGAGTAATAAACTTACTAAATCTTTAGCGTTGAAGCCACTAGTTGGAGTGTCTCGGACGGTTTTATAGCATTCAAAAAATTTGTTTACTTTTGGATGAAGGTGGAAAAATTGGTTCATAAAGCCATTGCTATATCTTTTCGTCGTGCCCTCCGAGTTCAAAAATTAGTTTGGATTCATTCCCAATACATGGACCTATGTTGATCCGAACCCGTGACTTGATCTTTCCCAATCATCATTCATGCTATGCATAATGTTTCTTCTTTTTTTTATTTATTTATTTTTTTAATTATTTTTATTTTTATTATTATTAATTTTTTCTTTGGACCAATTGAGCTTCTTTTGCCTTGAGTAGGTTGATGAGATGTCGAGGTAGGTATTGGGGTTGAGATGGGTATTCAGATTGAGGTTGAGATGAGTTATTGGATTGGAAAAAATCTTAAAAGTGCTTCTCATAATTGAATTCCGGTAGTAATTCAGAGTTATGAGATTAGTTGAAGCAAGGGTTGTAGAATCGAGGTCGATGATCCATGAAGTGTTGAAGGATGTGAATTGAGTGAAATGAGTATGGTATTTATAGAGATTACTTAAAAAAAGGGTCAAAGAGCCGTTGCGGCGCCCAAAAAAAGAAATAAAGAATAATATAAACATTGAAAGAGCTGTTGCAAGCTCAAACACTTTTAAAAAAAATGATTCAAATATAAACATTGAAAGAGTCAAATATAGAAATGTAAAAAAAAAACTGGAAAGGCTCAAATATAGAAATGTAAAAAAAAACTGAAAAGGCCAAAGAACCTTTGCAAGTTGTAACGGCTTAGCATGTGGAGCCCGCCATGTGGCGAGCCCGACACCAGCTCCATTCACTCGCCACAACTCTATTCACTCGCCATATATGGCAACATATCGGATGCTCTAATATTCAGGTGTGTCGTTCATGTAGTTTTAATTATGAATAATGTTATGCTTTTTTTTTTTTTTTTTATCTTTATGAATAAATAATAAACTGAATAAATGTTGATAAACATAATTTTTTTAGGTAGAGTTGTAATATATAAGCTGTTATGGATCATTTTCTTATATGTAAGTAGAGGGTTATCATGAGACGACTCTTATTGAGCTCATGTTTCAAACAATGACACAAGTTCTCATGAGAGCCATCATGAGAGCTTTTTTCATCTAAGGTGTTATAATAAAACTTAAGGTAAAAATCATAAGTTATGAAATTAAGGTTTGGTAATTTCATAAGTTACAGTTCCAAGGGACATTTTTTTTTGGACAGAGGGAGTATAAAGTAATTTCTTATATTTATCTTTACATCAGTTTACACAAATTGAGTAGCTTTATTTGGATGAAACATCACTAAAACCTTAAGACTAGTTAGTTGTATATGAATTTAGGGATAACAATGGTCCAAGATATGTTATGTACAGTCGAGACTGTCCAATCTCATCTGTTGGATGAGGTGGGTCTAATGTGAGTTTTATTGTGAGACCTGCCTCATTCAATAGATGAGGTTGGACAGTTACGTCTGTCCAAAACATTCTTGTGATGGCCTTTGTAAGTACCTAGTTGTTAATGTTAGTTTGTTATAAATGATTTAGAAATAATGATATGGTCCAAGATATGCTATGTATAGTCGAGACTGTTCAATCTCATCCGTTGGATGATGTGGGTCTAATGTGTGAGTTTAGTGTCAGACCCACCTCATTCAATGGATGAGATTGGACAGTTACGTCGATCCAAAACATTTTTTTGGATGGCCATTATAACCACTTAAAAAACTGTCTTTACAAGGCAAAGATGCAATTAAACTAAACTAAATACATATTGAATGTAGCAAAGTTGTTAGTTTGGTCTACGGTCTTGTTTCTTAGGACTTCTTTTTGAGTTTTTCTTTTTGAGTTTGAACAGTGCATTCATCCACTTATATTGCCATTTTTAACCATCTTTATATGGAAAAATAGAAATATAACATGGATCGAAGTGTACTCCACAATCATTACAAGTAACAAGGGGAAGTCTACTTTGAAGAATTAGGTACCCCTCTTGTGCATTGGACGATTCAGTGCACAGGGGAGGGTGGAGATCACCCCACATGGAGTGTGGTTCCCAAAAACAGATTGAACCCTACCTCATGTGGGGTGATCTCCACCCTCCCCTGTGCACTGGACCATTCAGTGCACAGTAGGGGATCCGGGTTCTTACTTGATAGCTTTCTTCAAGTAAGAAAATGTTACAATGAACCAAGTTCGGTTATATGTCATAAATGATCTTAATTTTATCCTAGCATCTTTCACAGTAATTTTATTGGGATGAAACATTAGCATAACCTATCTTAGCGCTTAACATTGGTCAATTATAAATGAATTATGATCGTCTAAGAAGTGTTGTATACAGTTGAGACTGTCCAATCTCATTCGTTGGATGATGTGGGTCTCATGTGTGAGTTTTAACGTGAGACCCATCTCATCCAATGGATGAGGTTGGACAGTTATGATTGTATAAACATTTCTGGATGACCTTTATGACAAACTTAAGACTGCATTTATAAAGAGAAGATGCAAATTATGACGCCAAGATAACATGTAATGGATATAGTATATAGTTTTCAGCTGGTCCATAGTCATATCTCTTAAGACTTTTAGAGCTTGGAAACTGTATTCCTTCACTTGTATTGCTACGCTATTTACATAAAGAGAAATTTTTTTTATTTTTTGTTATACAATTTTCTTCCTTAAATCAACTAAAATATATCTCTGGAAGAACAGGTTAAAAGAAATAACCTAGAATACTCCTAAATGTATATCTTAATGAACTTAAAGGCTCTGTATTCTATTTCTTGAATTCTATATATCATAAAAGTGGAATATTTCAGGTATTTTTGGAGTGCAAATATCATATATCTCTTTTCAATATTTGAACTTCCTTTCTTTTTATACTGATTATCAACATTTTGCTTGTTGTATTACCTGTTTAAGCTCTACAACGCCTACCAGTACTACTCCGGTCACGACAACGCCAACCACGCCTACAACCACGACACCATCATCGACGACCACACCCATAAGCGGCTCTCCTTACGTGACAACACCTTCCACCGGAGTGGTTGGCACCGGTTTAGGCCCGTCCGGAGTTGGCATCAACACAGATATGAGTCATGGTGGGCTTGCACTTCAGACAACCAGCTTCTTCTCTTTCTGGACAACCACCTCCTTGTTTTCAGTATTCATGTTATTGTGGGGTTGAAGAAGTAGAGTAGTGGTCTGTGGTGGTGGTGGTGGGGTAGGATGGTCAATATCAATGTTGGAACCTCAGTACATGATGTGCAAAGATGGTGTTGGGTATGCATGCGACTCTTTTAAGTATTAGTTTGTGGGGAATATCTAAAAGACAATCTTCCTTAAATTTGTTGGTTTCCTCCCACCCTTGCTTGGGAAAGATGGGCTTTAATTTTGATTCCTTTTGGGTGGTGATGTGGTTGCTAGTGGGGATTCTCTCTCTCTCTCTCTCTCTCTCTCTCTCTCTCTCTATATATATATATATATATATATATATATATATCTCCTTTATGCATATCTAGATCAATTTGGTAAATTATTAATTTGATGAGCCTATGAGACGCATGTTCCTAGTTGGTACTTTTCCAAAACATTGTTACTAGTTAATTATCAATGCATGGGCCTATCTTAACATATATGCACGTTATTTTAATTATGTTGGCTTTGTTTATGGTCGGCTACTTTAGGTGCTTTGAGGAATGTTCACTCGGTTTTAATTTGCCGCAATTCCTTCTGATTTTGTTCAATGTGTTATTAAGTGTTTTTGTTTACAAGTCTTAAACCTGTTATTTATTCAACGTTAATTAAATATGAAACGCGAGAATGTGGCCTGCTTGGTGCTTGAACAAGACTAAATAATTAAGGGTAAATTACACTCACATCCCAGGTGGGTTATATTTCAGCTATTTCAGCTAGATGAACATTTTTGTTTTAATTTTCACTTATACTTCAATTTACATATGTGAATTGACCTTTATACCCTCAATTTTTTAATGCAATATTTATGTAATTTTAAATGACATAAAGGCCCCTATATATATAATTTTTTTTGTAGGCAATTGCAGTGGCGAACCGGAGCCTTTCCTGTCTCATCTCTTCCTCTCACCTCTCCTTTCTCTCTCTCTATCTCAAACTTCCCCTTCTCACTCTAGAATCTGTTCCATTTCCACCTCTCTACACACTCACTACACACACATATATATATATATATGTATGTATGTATGTATATATGAGGATCTATCTGTGCTTTATGTGTGTGTGTGTGTGTGTGTGTGTGTATATGGAATACCTGCAAAGATCTAGCTCCTTCCGTTACATCATATTTTTATTTGGACAATGAGTACCATTCACGTAACACTGGCCTTCCTTTGTAAATGCTTATTAGGATGATCAATGTTAGTTGAATATTGTTTATATAGACCTTTTAGATTCTGTGGTAAAAGAATACTTATTACTATGTTATGCTTGAACTCAACTGATTAAACTTCGTAAATGGGTTATCAAAAGCATTACACATATACACATGATTTTTGGGGTCTGAATTAATTTTTGGGTATTTGGCAGATTCAAAATTGTGGGCTTTTGGGTCTGGGAACTCATAATAGCAGATTCAAACTTGTGGGCTTTTGCCGGTTCAAACTTGCCAACAGCAAGTTCGCTGCCGCTGTCGATGTTCGAAGAAGACGCCCATAAACAAGAAGACAACAAGCCTTGTTGTCTCTTTGCTTCTTCACCCAAAATACAGTCATCGTGCACCTCAAACGGGTCGCTCGATCAGCCGCTCGATTGGAGACTCTGACCCCGCGTCATGGGTTATATATTGTTTAAAGATTTACCACTACTATTGCGTCCGGTTACCTTGATCTCCGTTTTTCTTCACCTCTACTGTTGAATCCTCCATCTTAGATCTGCACAACTCGTATATATATATATATATATATATATATATACAATGAGACAAGAAGAGAGTCTTTTAATGAGAGCAGTGTTGGTGAGGTGGGAATGGGATTTGGGTGATGGATGAGCAGGATTGATGGGTGGAGTTGAGGAGGAACCTATGGGATTGGTGGATCTTGGAGGTGTGAATTGAGGATGATGATGGTATAAGGGGGAAAAAGAATAGAAAACATGTATGTTGGGGGTAGTTTGGTTACAAAAATAGTAAACAGGAGGTCAAAGGGTAACATAGTTATTTAACACCTCAAAAGTATAATTGACATTTGGAATGTAAGTGAAATGCTAAACCATTATTTCAAATGCAAGTGAAATTTAAAACCAAAATATTAATCTAGGTGAAATATGACCCAACTTTAGGGGGTGTAAGTATAATTTACCCAATAATTAATTAGGAGGCTCCGATCCTCTAAAACCATACGAAATCTAAGTGCATGTGAATGTAAAGTGTCAATTGACAAAATGTGTTATATTCATGTCTAATTTATCAATCCGTTTATAATTCCATTAAATAGATTTAACAAGATGTGTTTGATAAATTTATCGAGTTCATGTTTGAAAATGACCATTAATAGCTGGGAATTTAATTTAAAAAATCTTGTGGTATTGTATTAGGTCTTGACATAGGATCCGGCTCCTCTACGTCACTACTCTGCGCTTCTATCCACTGATAGAACCAACGCCCAGGAACAGGCCACATCAACTTAAAAAAGAAAATCCAAATCATTGTAAAACGTTAGCGTTTCAGTTAAATGAAGAAAAATAGGGAAACAATGCCAAGGCAAACACTGCCTTAACGATCCAGACCTCCTTTCTTTCTTCCCCCAATCTGGTTCTCTCCTGTGTTTCTTGGAGTCACCATCATTTATCAGACCAATCAAATATGAGAAATAAGAATGTAAAAATGAGCAGTTTTGACATTCTGAAAATGACGAGAAAAATATATTGTGGGAAGAGACAGAGAAATTAGGGATTTGAAATCTTGCAAAAGAATTTGTATTTTTGGGATTCTTTTGGTTTTCCTTTATTGTGGAAAGAGAGACGTAGAGAAATTTTGGCCACGGATAGAAGCGGAGAGAGCACTAAACGTAGAGGAGCCGGATCCCTTGACATTTAGGTCTTGTTGTGTTACCTGTTTAATAGTGTCAAGGTTTATTGACACAATTAATAGTCGTGATCTAATGGGGCTGTAGCTGCAGGATCTCTCCATTCTTTTCTCTCCCTTGTGATGCTTTTGCCTTGGGATTCTGTTTGTGTTGGCTTTGTATTGGAAATCGTTTTATTCATTTCCAATTCTATTTGCAAGTGAGGGTATGCCCTCACCTTTTCTTGAGGGAAATATACACACACACATATATCTATATCTATATATATGACAAGAAAACACGAATTGCCATCCCCTGTAGTTTAGTGATATATCATATCCTCTGCTTTCTAAACTAAAAGGTTAAAAAGAGAAATAAATGAAGGTGTTACCGGTGAGAAAACAAAGACGAAAAGAAAAAAGAAAAAGAAGTAAGAAAGTTAGCTTTCAGATTTGTGCCTACATGTTTCATTTGGACACATTTTTCGCTTCTGTTGGCAGGTTGGGAAGGGACTGTAACCATTCAAGAGTATTCTTAAATTGCATCTAACCCAAAAATCAAATTTTAAATGCTAAAGAAGAGAGTGTAAACACCTAAAGAAGTATTGAATTGTAATATGTAATGAAGCACCAAGTGCAGCTAATATGTTGTTCACTCAAAAAAATTAAAACAATTACCAACATTTATCATTAAGACAACGCTGCCAGAGGACGAAGCCGGTGGTTGTGAGATCTTCAATTACCAACATTTATCATTAAGACAATATGGTTAAGTACATCTCTAGGGTATTAAAATCCCACTTTCCAATCTTCAAGCTAATGACTCCTTACGATGCAGATGTTCAAAATTATATTGTGATTGCAGCTAGTATGATTCACAACTATATCGCAGCTAGTATGGCACAGGACCTTAATTTGTTTTGTTGGATTGTGGCATGAAATTTAGATAATTGACATTGGTTCACTCCTCCTCCTCCTAGGTTTTGCGGAACTTCTTTCATGCGTTAAAGAAAGCCCAAGATCACAATGTACGATTTTAATCAAAGGCGAATAACCAGGTTTTATAACTCGAATCCTATTCGTATCTTTCGCATGACGAGTCCAGTTCGTGACGATTACTAATCAACAAAATAGAAACATTTCTGGGAGAAAACCAGAATTGATAACTTGAGGTCCTACTTTGTATCTTCTGCACGAGTAAAATGATGCCACAAGATCAGTTGCTGCAAATTACTTATCAAAAGAAGTCCAAATATTTCTGGGTAACCAAGACATTTTCTATTATGACTAGCAATTTCCAAGAAGGGAAAGGAGGAGAAGAAGACAGAAAAGAAAGGAGTCTAAGTAGTTACCATCCAGTCCAGTACCTATTGATCTTTCCTTCTCATCTGGCTATTAAGTGAAGGCAAAGAAGAAAGAAAATAAATGAGTCTTTAAGTAGTTACCATTTAGTAAAGTATTTCATCTGCTGGTGTTACCAGCTTGTTAATGAGGGAGGGAGCAGCTGAGGCTACCATTTGTGGCTGGTCTAGATCTTGATGATCCCCTCACCTACCCCACCGGGCACCGTCAGCTATGCCTCAGGTATCCCTGGATATAAAATTGATCAAATCTTCACCAATATGCTGAATGCTGAGAGCTTTGCTTTGGTGGCCAGTGGCACTCATGGATCCCTGCTGACTAGGACAAGACCTGGGATTTTCCACTCGGAGGAAATTTAAAAATTTTAAACTACAGCTAAATTTTTCTTTATAACAAAAAGTCGCACATGTATTCTTAATTATAAAAGAATAGAGATTTCAAACTTGATGTTTGCTGATGAATGATGACACTTTTGGTTTTCTCATCTCTGTGACGCGGATGTGTCTCAGACAAGATTCTTGAGATGCGTTTTGAATTGGTTTCAAGTGGTCTCTGGTTTGAAGGTGAATGTGGGAAAGAGTGTCTTGGTGCCGATTCAGAAGGTTCCTGATATTTCCACCTTAGCTGATATCTTGGGTTGCAGGATTGGCTTTTTTCCCATTTCTTATATGGGCTTGCCTCTTGGAGTACCATCTGATCCAGTGGTTGAGAGGTATGAGAAGAGGTTGGCTGGATGAAAGGAGTATCTTTTCAATGCGGGAGGATTACTTTGATGAAGAGCACTCTGTCGAGCCTTCCTACTTATTTCCTTTCTATTTTTCAGATTTCCGTCTTTGTGGCCGAGAGGATTGAGAGGTTGCAGCAGATCTTCCTCTGGGGTGGTATGGAAGAGGAGTTCAAGTTTCCTTTGGTTCGATGAGAGAAGGTTTGTACTCCGATTCGAAAAGCAGGTTTGGGTATCAGAAGATTGGTGCCTTCCAAAAAGGCTCTATTGGGAAAATGGCGTTGGAGATTTGGGGTATAAAGGCACAGGCTTGAAGGGTGAATTGTAAGCAGATTCGGTAACGCGAGAGGAGGTTGGTGCTCTTCTGAGGTGAGAATCCCTAGTGAAGTTGGGGTTTGGAAATTCATCAAGAGGGGTTGGATGAATTTTCTAAACATATTAGATTCCAAGTTAGGGATGGTTGGGGAATTCGCTTTTGGAAGGACATTTGGAATGGTGATCGCCAGGAGGTTGTGGTAGGTGTCTGTGACTCTTAGGTGTGGATTCTCTCTTCTCAGGATCACTTTGATGTTAGGTCTCTTTATAAGTGCCTTTTAGAGGCTCCTGGGCTGCCCTTTCCGTGGAGGGATTTTTGGCGTTCAAAGTCCCCCCCTTAAAGTGGCGCTTTTTGCGTGGACATCCATCTTGGGGAAAACTTGACCCAGGATAACCTTAAGAGGAGACAGATTGTGGTCAATTGGTGTTATCTGTGTAAGAATGACGAGGAAACGGTTGATCACCTTCTTCTACATTGCCCAATGGTGTGGAATTGCAGGATTTTGGTTCTGGGTTTGTTTGGGGTTCAGTGGGTTATGCCCAAGTCTTCTAGTTGGTCGAGGCTTGGAGAGATTGTACAGCAAGGACCCAAGGTCGTAATTTATGAAGGGTTACGCCTTTGTGCGTTTGGTGGTGTTTATGGCTTGAGAGAAATAGGAGATCCTTCAAAGGAAAGGAGAATCCTATTCGGATTTTGAAGTTCTCCATTATAAGCACCCTTTTTTGTTGGGTTCTAGGGAGAAATTGTAAATCCATGGACGAACTTGTTGATTTTTTGGACTCGTTGAGCGTTAGAGACTCTATTTGCCCTCGTGTAGCTTTTGAGGGATGAGTTCCCCTGTTGAATTTTTATACTATCTTTACTTATCAAAAATTATGTATATAAAAGAATATTTACGATGATTATTTATAAGTCGCATTAAGCGCTTAAAATGAGAAGTGTTATATTTGGGTTTTTGATTTTTTTTTCTTTCTTCTAAATAACGCTTCCAAACAAAAGGAGGCTAAAAAGGAACCAAAATTGAGGATCTTTTTTTTTTTGGTTGGGGTTGGGGGAGGGGTTGAGGGAAAACATTAAATCCTTAAATGTTATGATGCTCATTATTCGTAAGGCGTTAATTTCTTAGGATTTGGCAAAATTGTGGTCTGCCCCTGGCTGACAAAGCCAAAAGCTCTTACGTTGCCAACGTACCTGTTTGCGACCCCAGCAATGAGACACCATTTTGCCAAGGGCTCTTGGGGAAGGTTGGACTCATTGAAGTTTAAAGGAGCTCCTACTGCTATGAACACAGCTCTTGGGGATGGCCCTTGGCATCTTGTTGGTCACCATCTTGTCCTCAAAAAGATGGCATGAGCTTCAGGAGTGGATGAGTTAGATTCACATCTGGGTCAAACTCAAAAACCTTTCTACTGGAATACTGACATTACAATAGAATACTGGATGAGCAAGGGCTTAGTTATATAGCAAGTATTGTTAGAAGGCAGTATTCTGATTCTCTTACTGATCACTCATTCAGTTGAGAGGATATATTTGCTTGAATTTGTTTAGAACCAGATGTTTCTTGCTGCTTTCATTGAATTCATCCTAAACTCCTAAATTCGCAAGTGCGGAGGGCCACACATTGTATAGGAGGGTGATGCTACTGTACAAGTTTCAATATTTGACTAATTCTAAGATTTGTCACGTTGATTGTTTCCTGTAGATGTCTATTCACCACCTACATTCAGGTTTCAACTTCTGGATAACTACTTAACAAATTCTTGACTTGAATTCTTTGGTGTGTCCTAAGAAACAAGATGAGAAACAAAGATGCGGCTTCAATAAAAAAAAACAAAAAAAAAACTAAAAGAAAAGAAAAGCCACATCATCCCAAACCACAAAATAAAAAAAATTCAACCATCCATAATAAGTCAAAATTTGATAAGAATGCCTTTTTATTTGAAATTAATTTCATCATTCAAATTCATTCAACATACAACAAATGACAATTCATAACAGGAACTTTTAACTTCTTCCTCTCCTCATCTGTCAAAGCAGAAGCCTACTTTACATCCAAGATAACTACTACTTATATAATGTTAACAAAATTGATTTACGAAAAAAAAATTGAGAAAACAATCAACGATGATCAACTTTAGGAATGGAATTCAAAGGCTGCAAATTTCCTTACCTTTTGTAAATCTGAAGCAATAAAGTCATTGTGATTTCAGCATTGCATGACCCGTGTCACCCAAATGCTTATGTAGTTTATTCCTGATGTGACAAGGATACAAATTCAAATAATAAAAATCTTGAGCAGTAAATAAGAGTAAATGCGACATAGAGATCAGATAAGTAACAAAACTGCTTAAGAAATAACGTCAAAGCAGAGAAGAAACAGAAGTTACCTTGACTCAAAGTCCTCTCCGCATGTCTCACAAAGAGTGCCAGAAAATTTTGATGTTGCCTGAGTTGGAAAGGATAATTAGTACCCACAGTTAGAAATCAGCATGATAGTCAAGTGGTGAGATCCGAACATGTACTGAACCTTAAACGCTCAACAATAAAGTGAACTAAATTTAAATGTCAACAATGCGAAACTCACAAATCTACAAGGCAGCAAACTACACAAGGCACAACTTTCGGAATGAAATTAATTTTGCGATGGGAGGTAAAAGATAGTGGCGACATCACAGTTATAACCATAATAAAAATTCACCATTCCTCATCCAAACTATTTAGATTAGAGATGTACAAGAACCTATACCTCCATTAAGCTTTTACAAATTAGAACTTAAATATATAAAAAAACACTGCAGTTATGCTAGCACAGGAAATGAGTTGAAGTGCTTCAAAGTTTCAAGAAGCTGGAATTTCAAACACCACATAGAGCAGTGTAATGACAGTACAATATATCAGGAAACATTTATTTATTTTTGATAAGTAAGATAAAAGTATATCAGGAAACATTGAAGCTAACATCTAAAGGTTTTACCTTCTGTTTCCTTCCTTTGGATGGATTCTTCAATTTGGTGTTTGGATCTTTCTTTGCAACACCTTTCTTACCAACAAATTGTTTTGGGACCTCATCATTTCTTTCTAAATGATTATCTCCTTTACCATTAATATTTTCTGAAAAAGACTGGGAAGATGACTCTTCCACAAGCGAAACATCATCAAGACCATTACTTTCTTCACCAAGATTATTAATTTCAGCTGTCTCAGCTCTCACAGCTTCTTCATCAGTACTTTTACCCCTTCCTCTCCTAGCTCCCCTATTCCTTCTAGTACTCTTCCGTTTATTATACTCGAAGTCCATCTCATCACTGTCACTTTCAACATGAGCTTTAGTCGACGAATTCTTAGCCTTGGATTGATGCACTGAAGCTACATTTTTCCTACTCTTGTGCCCAGACACCATTGTTTCAAGAATATCCACTTCATCATCACCAGATCCAAAAAACTCACCAACACCTTTCAAACCACCACTATTATTATCAACATCAAGGAACTCCTCCTCGTCTCTAGATCGAGCTTCATCATCATCATTATCACCACCACCACTTTTTCGTTCTTGAACCCCAAAACTATCTTTAAACTGCTCTCTTAACTCATCAACCTCATCATTATCCACCACAGGACCATTCCCATCACCACTACCTAAATTCCCATCTCCGCTCAGCACCTCCTCTTCACTCTCTTCATCACCAAAGGCTTCCTTTAACTCTGCCACCTTCTCCTTATGCTTCTTCGACTGCTCATGATTTTTCCACTGCTTCTCACTCTTAAACTTCTTTCCACAAACCACACAATACAACTCCTTCTTCTTCTCATGAATCTCATCCTCAATTTCACCACCATCCTCAACCTCCTCATCCCCCTCCTCCACCTTGCTCCATTCTGGCTCCTCATACGCCTTCGCCCTCTCCTTCTTCTCTCTCTCCAATTGCCTCCTCTTCTCTCTCTCCTCCATCCTCTTCCTCTCCATCTCCTCACTCCTCTTCACCTGCATATCAATCACCCTCTTGTCCCTCTTCTTCACAAACTCCGCCAACCCTCTCACCGTATCGTTGTAGTCCCTCCTCGCCTTCTTCCTCAGCTTCTTATTCTCATCCTCCATCACCCTCCTCGACTTCCGGTTTGGCCCCGCCATCGCATCGTACTGGTCCACCCAACAAAAATCCATCACCGTCACAAACCCTAACCAATAGTTGTAAAACGCAGTCACCTGCGTGTACGGACTCTGCAAATTACCCATCACCGGAGCCCCCTTCACCGCTCCCAACCCTAACCCTAATTTCTTGGAGAAATTCAACTCGTTCGAGTATATTCTGTCGAAGACGTCCGCGTAGACTTTGTAGAAGCCCTTGGCGGTGTCGGAGTAGCCTGAGAAGACGGAGTTGGAGAAGAAGGAGAAGAGGTCGGGGACAGTGGAGGAACCGGATGGGGTGGGACCGGAGAAGAGGATCTGGGAACGGTGCGAATCGTACCAAGCACGTTCGCGAGGGTCGGAGAGGACCTCGTAGGCGTTGACGAGTTCCTGGAAGGAGGCGGTGGCGTCAGCTTCGGAGACGCCGGACTGGACGAGCTTGTCGGGGTGGCGCTGGAGGGCGAGCTTCCTGTAGGCCGACCGGATCTCGTCGGCGGTACAGTCACGGCCGAGCCCTAGGACCTCGTAGAGACATCGCTTTCCCGGCGACGCCATTTTTTTTTTTTTTTTTTTTTTTTTTTTTTTTTTTTGCGTTTTGGGGGTTTGTGGGATTGTTTTGTCAGCTAGGGTTAGGGTTCGAGTTAAGGTGGCAACTGGGGTCTTTATTTGGGTTTCCGAGCTACTGGAATTGTGGGAAAGATGAACATTGTTTGGCTGGGGTTGTTTTATTGCTCTTCTCCGAAGCCGAATCTTAACAAATTTATTATTTTATTTTCGTTTTTGTAAAGATACATTCGGAATATTATGGGTTTCGTGTTTGTTTTTGTTTAGGAATATGTTACGTAGTAAAGTAAATGACGCAAATCCGCTGCTGTGAGCTTTCTATACTGTTCCTTGCTGTGACTTTTAGGCTTCGTTTCGATACGGAGGAGAGAAAAGAAAAGAAAGGATTAGAAGAGAAAAGAAAAGAAAGGGAAAGAAAGAAAATGATAGCTATAATGTTTGGATAAATAGGAGAGAAAAGAAAGGAAAACATAATATACTTGTTTGGATAAAACAGAGGAGAGAAAAGAAAAGAAAGGATAATAATGAAATTACTATATTACCCTTTTATATATTTTGATAAATAATCATTCATAACTTGATAGCATACTGATTTTTTTTTTTCTCTCCCTCAGTTTCATTGGAAACTAAAATTAATAATAACTAAAAAAACAAGATAACTTGATAGCATACTAGTGTTGTTGTTGTTTTTTTTTTTTTTTTAATAAGTAACTTGATAATATACATATAACTTGATAGCATACTTCGAAGATAGATAGATATGGGTGTAAGATTTTTATACCACATTTTCTCATCTCTTCATAAACTTTAGGGTTTTTTTTTTTTTTTGGATAATTAAAATAATACTAAATAATTAATACCAACTAAAAGTTAGTATATTCTTTATTAATAGACAATTTTACTATAAATCAATGTATACACGTAAGATATGCAATACATTGTTCAATTATGTATCACATGCTTCTTAACTTGGATAAAAGAGTGCTACATATATATGGTTCTTCTATACCTGTAACACCACAAATATGTAGCCACACCCCTAATTCCCTGTGTTTAGATCAATATTTGCTTGTCCCTTACATAGGTAAACAAATTTTTTTAAAAGAAGAAGTAATATATATAAGTAAAAAATCACTTCTCAAACACTTCTCAATTGAAGACAGAATAGGCTCAATTCACAAAAAGTAAAATTATAACAAAACGACACAACAAATCACTTCTCAATTGAACACAATATAGCCTCAATTCACATCCAAGCTACATTCACACGCCTAGTATAACATAGTACACAGACTTTAATCCATTATAGTTTTTTGTTTCTACATTCACACGCCTACTCAGGAATTCATCAAGACCTTAAAAAAAAACATATGCCATCTTCAACACACCATACGAAGTTCTATAGAGCTTATATACCAAAAGCTCCATAACAAAAAAAATAAAATAAAATAAAATACATACAAAAAAATACATAATTAAACTTAGACATAATACCAAGTTCTACTAATTGTTCCAAAATATTACCAACTTAAAAGACATTGTCAAAAGTTAGTATAACCGAAACCATTATCAACGTCAAGAATCATTGGACATCAGTTCCTCCAGGAGTATCTTGCGAAGCACAGGTGGGCAACCAATAAATTGTGTCATTCTCTCAGGATGGTCACGCTTAGTCAGAAAAATAAAGGCCTTAACAGCTGCATGCCCCTCTAATCCAATTTCCGCCAAAATCTTAAAGAGTTCTTCTTCATATTTTCCCTTTTGGTTGCACTTCTCATAAATATGGTTGAATGTTTTGTGAATATCATTTCCCTCTTTTAGAGAAGCAGCCACACCTCTCACTATTTCAATTATTTCATTATCTCCATCAACAGTCGAATAATTCCTTTTTCTCTTTCCTTTTGAAGAAGTGGAATGGGAAGGTGCACTTGAAGGTGTTTCAGGAGACATCATATTCATATTCTCAAACTCATGATCCATAAAAAATGTATTATCCAAACTTACTTCATTCCGTGACACCATGTGATCAATAGCATCAATGCTCTCCATTAGATCATCATTATGACTTGACTCCCTTTCATTACTCTTCTCTTTTCCTTTTGTTGCCCAATCATTAATCCTCTCCTTAGCAGTGGCTGCATTAGACCCAGTTGCCCTATCCTTGCCAAATAAATCCAGCAACTTATCATAGTTGCAAATTGGAGTAGTTTTCCATTTCTCCGCTGCTGGATTTGACTGTTGGCGAAACATAAAAAAACTACATTATCATTATTTCAAGCTAAAACAAAGGCAGAATAAAATGTAACTATTAAAAGAAAAAATAAATAAATAAATAAATAATCTCAATTAAATAACTAACCTCAATTAATGAAGCCCAAACTTCAGGTTCAGCATACCACATTTTTGTTGCTTCACTCCAAGCAAACCCACTCAAACCAGTTTTGAATAAGTCAAAACACTCGTTAAATGTTTTCTTTATTGTTTTCAATCGATTCTTCACTTTATCTTTGTTGATATCGATACCTAATCTTTCTTTCAATTCATCAACAATCTCACTGTAAGCTTTTGTTGTAAATGTACCATCAATCATATTCCCCTTCACAAATTGATTGTGCAATGCATCTACAAAAATATCATCCATCTGTGCAGTCCAAACACATCTATCTCTCTTCGACCCACCACTTATGTTTAATTGATTACTCATTCTTATATCTACATAAAAACAAATACAATAGAAAGAAATGAAGGAAAAAATAAATCATTTAACTAAAGGTAAACAAAAACTGTATGCAAGGTAGGAGTTTATAACAAGCTATAATTAGCATTCTACATCTCCAAATGAAGCACTCTGACATAAAATAAGTTACAGAAAAATTAAACATAAGCAAATAAGTTTTAAGTTATTGCAACCAAATAAAACATTTCAAGTATCACACATGATTAGCTACATAGTCATGCCACATGTGGGAAGTTATTGAATCTCTCAAGTGTTCTCCCAAACTATGATCTTCACTTCTTTCCATTGGACCATGCTCTTCATGTGGAGTTTCATTTAAGAGCTCCCGATCTACTTCATTAAAAAGGCTTTCATCCGGATCCATACCCATTAAATAGTTGTGTATGATGCAACAAGCTAAAATGATATCAACTTGAGTTTTAACATCATATGTTGGTTCAGTACTGCTTCCTATGATAGGAAATCGTTTCTTCAACACACCAAAAATTCTCTCAATAACATTGCGCAATGATGCATGTCGAAGGTTGAATAACTCTCTAGGATTCTCTGGTCGGCGTGAGGCATATTCTTTTAAATGATAGCGCACACCTCTATAAGGCGTGATAAGTCCAGCCTTTAATGGGTACCCGGCGCCAGCAAGATAAAATTTTCCTATTAAGAATAATAGTAATTAATATTTGCTTCGTATTAAAAAAAATATCTTAAAGATTTTAGTTAATGATAACAAAAATTACCTTCCGGAAGTATTAATTTATCTCCTTGTCTTTTTAGTGCACTAGCCATAACTCTTGAGTCTGAAGCGGTACCCTCCCATCCAGGTAAAACATAGGTAAATTTCATGTCAAATGAACAAGCTGCTAACACATTTACTGTTGGATAATTTTTCCTACCACGATATCTGGGTGCATCTTCGTTAGATACTTTCACACGAACGTGTGTTCCATCAATTGCCCCAATGCAATTCTGAGATAAAATCATTATAATAAAAATTTTATGTAATAGTTTATAAAATCGTTAAAATTGAAGTATTAAGTTAAGTACTAATCATGTTCACCTTGAAATATGGATGAAACCTATCGTTATTGAGTATTTCTGGGGGGACGTCCAATCCACTAGGTTGCTTGAGGAACTGTCCTTCCAATGAGATTACTGCTTTTAACACACTATGAAAATGACGGCTTATGGTTTCACCAGAGCGACAAAAGAAAAATGACATTGTCCGATTCCTCACATTATGTGATATAATGTGCAGAAATTTAGCAACTTGCTCTTCAACACTTCCACGTTTTGTGGGTCGAAGACCACCATCTCTTATAAGCATCTCACAGAAATTTTGAAAAGCTTCTGGTCCCATACGAGTAATGTTACGACATTTCTCACTTACCCTAAGCTCGTTCATTAGTTTATCCCGTGTTATTTGTCTTTCAATCTCTGATTGTGTAATAGGTTTATCTACATAGTTTCTACGTTTTTTACGCTTAAACCAATACACGGCAAGGAGAATGACTAGAGTTGCAATTTGGCGTCGTCTTTGTACCCACATAAGATGGAAACGCAGTATGTCATTTTGTTGTTTGTCCATCTAAAATTGTAAAATGCAAAATGATATATTAATAACCAGAAAAAAATGTAGTACTGTTACTTTTTGTATATATCTACAACTAAAATCTTGTGTTAACCAGTAAGCTGTTTAAAAAACAAAAAAAAAATCTCAATGTGCTCAAATCATTTAATATTGATGACAACTTCAATGTGCTCAAATCAACCCATATGATGGTAATCTTCAATGAACCCATTTTAGCTCATCTGATAAAAGCACACAACCACCACATACTACTGTATCACGGCGAGCAAAGAAGAGCGAGAGCGCTAAAGACTGTAATAGAGATAGGAACGTAATCCACTAATTAACTGAAATCCAAAAATTGATTAAGACAGCAAATTCATATTAACCAATTTCTTCAAATTTTCAAACTTAAATTTCCATTCACTAGCTTCAATTCAAAATGCCAAATTGAATATGAGAAACACCAAATAATTAGTAATTAATTTACTTATAAAGAACACAGAAAAAAAAATGAAAACAATTGAGTACCTTATATTTGCAAAAGAGAAGTCTTCCAACTGAGATCTAAAAGTGGCGAGCTGCTCTTCACAAGATCAATTCGTATATTGATTCTGAAATCAAAAAATAAGAATCAAAATCGATGAAGTCAGATTCATGTGTTGGCGCCAAGCCCTTATGCCGAGGTTCCCCTATCTTGGCAACTCAATCTAAGCCGGGGATGGATAGAAACAGAGACGACGAGCGGAGCGAACGATCAAAGTGATCAACAAAGGATCGACCAAATGTACAAACACAAAGACACACATATATATACTTGTATAAATAGAGAGAAATAGATTGGAAACAAACCTAGCAGCAACGGCAGTCTGCAAATCGCCTAACACACCTTCGCGTCTCCAATTGAGGATTCCAGACCTAGGGTTAGCGTTTCTTCTTTGAGCCGTGTTAAAGAGCCGAAGCCGGAGACGCGAGAGAAGAGGAGATGGAGACGCGAGAGAAGAGATGGAGAAGCTGCTGCGCCCTAATATAGAATTTGGAAGGCTAATTTTGTCTTTTGTTTGCTTTCTCTTCCTTTCCCCTCAAATCTTCTCAATTTTGAGGGGATTTGATTTTACTGTTGTGGAGGGATTTGGAGGGATAGCCTATCCCTCCAAATCTTTCCCAATCCTTTCTTTTCTCTTCTATTCCTTCCATCCAAACACACTTAACACTATCCTTCCCTTTCTTTTCTCTCCAAATCCCTCTAAATCCCTCAATCCAAACGAAGCCTTAAGTGACTTATATTTTGTCACATCATTCTTCATTTAATAGCCCTTAAGATAGCATTTGAGTGGAACTGAGACAACGTTTGCATCATTCTTCACCACCATTTATAAGTATTTTCACACACAAAATAAGTTATGTACATAATACTGACGAAGTAATATCACATACAAATGTAACTCAATTCAACATACTGTGTTTGGTAATTATACCACCATTTATAAGTAACATTTCACCACCATTTATAAATATCTTCACCCTTAAATTAAGTATCTTCACCCTTAAATTAAGGTATGCACATAAATGGTGATGTTACTTTTAGACTCATGTGATGTTACCTTTTAGATCTTGTGATATTACTTATAAATAGTGGTGAAATGTTACTTAAATATGATGTTACTTTTAGACTCTTGTGATATTACTTTTTAGATCATGTGATGTTACTTTTTAGATCTTGTGATGTTACTTATAAATGGTGGTAAAATGTTACTTATAAATGGTGGTGTAATTGCCAAATATGGTTCTAATTGTCAAATGGTGGTAAATAACGTGACCAAACATAAACCACATAAAAACTTACAGCAGGGGGCAGCTTGAGAATATACAGCAGGGGATTTGCGCCCGTAAAACTTAACTTTGTTTATTCGGAAAGTGAATTTGTTAAGATAATATATGGTATGTTTGAGAGAAAAAATAGAAAAAGTTATTTATGGTAAAATTTTAACTCAAACAGAACTTTTTGACAGAGGTATTAGGGGTTAGTTAACTCTTTAAGAACTCTAATGTTTTGAACCAATTTTAAGTGTAAATAATTAAATAAATATATAATTCAATTAAATTTTTTTAAAATTATATTTTGAGTCCTCTTTTTATTAAATAAGAATCCTAATTTCCTCAACAAACTACACTTCACATTTATCATAATTATAAAGTGAGAATGCAAAAGAGAATATATATATATATAACAAAAGATAAAAATAGAGAAAAGAAAATTAGAGAGAAAAACCTAATTTAATGCTAGTTCTCACTTCTCCTTTAATGAGTAATTCAAACAAATGTGTACATATACATGAATTTGTATGCTTTCTTAATTTAACTATAACTTAAATATATTAATATGTTAACAAAAATAGAAATAAAATGTAATATCTATTAAGATTGAGAACATATTTGTCTTTTAAATAGCGCTACATCAAATTCAAGATACATACATTGAATTTTATTCAAGTGTAGCATTGCTTTTTTCTTTATGTGTAACTTTTATTATAAACAAATAGGCTATTTAAAAATGTTGGGTTCATTTTAAAAATGATAATATATATATATATATATATATATATATATATATATATATATATATTTGTTAACATTAAATGTTTTTTAAAAATATACTTAACGAAGACGACTCTGCAATAAACTCATAAAGAACAATGATGGAGAAGATGACAAAAACTGCCAAGTGAAGGAGAAGCATGAGAAGAAGAAGAAAAAACTTAAAAGAAGAGAAAATTGTATATCCCTTTTATTTGGGCTTTGCCCTTACAGGTTTAAATCCTAATTGAGTCATTTTTTGGGGTCATTTCTTAGTACTTAACGCTTTGTTTTGAATCAATTATTTTATGATTTGAAAAAAGAATTTGAATTGGAATAAGAATTGAAATTAAAATGAAATTCTATTTAAATGTTTGGAACAAATTGGATTTAAAATGGGATTTTGAATAAAAACAATATAATACCATTTTTGCCCTTATTTAAATAATAAATGAAATATTTATTTTATTACAAAATATACTCAAGAAGAAGACAAATAACGAGAATGATTACGTGATGGAACTATGAAGCATGAAATTTATTTTTTCTTTGTTTCCTTATTTAATATAAATTCTTCCTAGGAAATGGATTCCATTCAGCCCTAGCGAGCAACTTCTCATGCCCATTGGGTTTGCCAATTTGGACCAGGTTTGCGTTGTTGGACCAAATGGCCCAATATCTTGATATGGGCCGGGTTTTGTTGATTCACAGTTCGGGCTTTAAGCCCAACACACAGTTTGAGTTGTGGTTGGTGCTCTTTCGGGGAAGTTGTCACATTTTAACTTGTGGGAACTTTTCCCTCCACAATTTGCCCCAATTTCCTTTTCTGTTGTGCAGTTACATAAGGAAATTTATGAGTTAGTGGATTCGAATGGTTTTTCTTCTTCTCATCCGTCAGTAATCATGTTCCTTGGAAATAGAAGTGTAAGATTTCGTGTGATCCCATCATTGCCTCTTGTGCAGTTTCCTATATATAATTGTTAAATATATCTAAATATTAAGAGAGTCTTCGGCGATTTTGGAAAGTTCTTATTCTTCCCCCACTCCAGCGCTTCTTCAGGAGATCTTTTCCCCTTGATTCCAAGGTCAGTCCTTTTTGTCCTTTGTTTTTTATTCCTCTTTTATTTTCCTATATATAAGTGTTCGTGTTTGTACCTGCTTTTGGATAATGCATTGATTTGTTTTAACAAGCATGTTTGATTTGGATTGTTTGGTTATGTTTAGAAGTGAATGTTTTTTGATGATGAAGGAGGTATGAACTTGGACTCGAAAATGGTCACTCTCTTTTAGAAGTAGATTCCTAAAGACTTACAATGCACACTTTCCTTGGGGTGCCAAATGTAACAAAAATTCACTTTATTTTACAAAATATTTTGAGGTGCCAAACGGGGCAAAAATAACCATTTACCAAAAAGTGAATTTTTTGGGAGGATGTAAATGAGCAAAATGACCATTTTAATGTGAGAGTTGATTTTGGTGTCAGAAATGAAAAAAAAAAAATGACCACTTACTTAAAAGTGGATTCTTTGGGAGGTCATAAATGACCATTTAAGCAAAAAATTGAAAATGACAAAGATGACCACTTTTAAATAAAATGACCATTTTGAAGATAAAGTCGATTTTGAAGGCAAAAGTGGTTGGAAATGACTGAAGTGGTTGTTTTATAAAGAAAGTGTTAGGAATGGTTATTAATGCATGTGTTAGGTGTGAAAAAACTAATGTTGGTAGTTTTGACACCGGAAAGGCTACCGGTGCATCCCGTGAAGGGAAAGCACTTTGGTTAGCCACTGAAAGGTCATAGAGACCTCAAGTGAACCGTCTTTTATGAGTACAATGGTCATTATAACAACAGTATGACAAGAATGTCATCCCATTGAAATAAAACATGCATGTGCTCGTGTGCGTGTGTGTCCATTTTTTAAAGTAAATGTGAGATAATGAACGAAAAAACGCAAAAATGGTTAGAGATTGAAAAATGCCTCTGATATTTGTATCTAAGGCATCCATGGGTAGCTATATTTCTCCCCCACTTTCGTCGTAAAGACAAAGTATATCCATCTGTAACGACCCAAATCCGTGGATCCGAAACACTAACTAGGTTCAAACCCTAACCCAAGAACAACTAAGGGTAAAATGGTCATTTAAAGTCAAAATAATAAAATTGAATCTATACTAATGAAAAGATGACTAAAAAACATACAATCTCGACTTAAGAACGACCCAATTTGGGTTATAAATGAAGAAATTATGATCATTTGAAGTTTATGTTGTTAATAAGGTGGGTGAATAGTGTAGTGATCGAGCTTTGAACTCAATGCTCGAGCTTTGGCTAAAAAATGCTCGAGCTCCACCCCTTAGAGCTCGATATTTGACACTCCCAGGTTTTTAACTCTTGGGATCACCCCAGTGCTCGAGCACTACCCTCAGTGCTCGAGCTCTAAGCCACCCAGTGCCCAAGCACTGACCCCTAGTGCTCGAGCTTAGGCAAGATCCAGAGAACCATTCTCGAGCACTACCCCTTAGTGCTCTAGCTCTGCACCCTCAATGCTCGAGCATAGAGCCCAGTGCTCTAGCTTTTCTCTTTCTGGGCAAAATTGCTCTCTGCTTTCACCCTAGTGCTTGAGCTCTACCTCAGTGCTCGAGCACAAACCCTAAAAAATGGTCATTTGCTCCTTTAAATTCTATGGTTTGGCTCTTGCATAATATCTAGGCCATTGGACACTTCAATAAGGTTTAACCCATCCAAAAAAAACAACCATACTTTTGAATACATTGGTGAATAACAATTAAACATAATAAATTGATGCAAGAACTTGACAAAATAATTTTCATTACATTCTTAGCTCGTTTTTCCATCCACGGCCAAATGGATCATTACATAATTATCCCAAAAGAATAAGATTACAAAAGAAATGACTTTCATGGCCACAAATACAATGCTTTCACATGAGTTAACAAAAGAATAAGGTCATTTACATATCAACCAACATCTAGATTAGCATTGAATACAAAAGATATAAAAAACGATCCTCTTAGCTATGCCTAAGCTTGTGGAGGTGCGTCGTCCACTACATCTTTCTAGTGCCCTGAAAATGTTAATAAGATGGATGAGCATAATGGCTCAGTAGGAAATGCCTAAAACATCTACTTTGGACTCCTTTGAGTCAAACAACCAAAGAATGGGAAAATAGTGAATTCGGGATCATACACCGAAAAACATAGATTGTAGACAAGGCACAACATTCCAAGGATAACTTATATACAACAAGATGATGCACATGAATGTGATTATGTCATGCTACACAACTCACACCGAAAACCACTAATCAACTTTACCGAGGCGAGGTTGACTAACTATCCCTGGCCTCAAATCCGGCGACCATTTGGGGCCTAGTTAATACAATTTTACACATTCAAATCCGGCACGTGCTCCCTCTAGGTTGAATTAGCCCCAGATGCGCGATATCCAGTTCCTTTTCTAAAATCTTTTCACGAACTTCTTGAAATTCAAATTCACCATTGACAACTCAACTCAATCTTTCTACCATGCCATTGCCATGAATGAATTATACACCAATATAGATTCAATGTTCATACTACAACATCATCTACATTTATCTAGGCATTTAAATACACACATAAAGAGCA